TCCCTGGACTGCAGTAGCCATTTTTCCCATGGCCTCTGTTCTTACTGCTTGGACTGTTCGGCTTGGTTTAGTCTGAGAATCAGACCATTGGTGGGTGCCCATTGGCGCAGACTGGCAAGGAAGCCACGAGGACACCCCATCTCCGCTAGGACCTCAGAGAAGTTGAACCAACAAAAGAAAGGACTCTAAGTCCACCAGCTTTTTCTGCTGTAYGGAGGAGACCAACATCAGAGATTCCTCAGGTTCCCATCTGCTTTTCCCTTGAGCTCCTCTGTGGACTTCCCTTCCCGAGAAAAAGTCATCCACCATTTTGTTCCTTCTCGCCATGTGCTCGGTAGTTATTTCCTTCCCTGGATATTTTGGGTCTGTTTGTTCTGCTGTGGGTGGCTGTGTGTGTGAGAGAGGGGTAAGGTTCTGAARKTTCAATATCTAACAGTTACTTTTTTTCCCATGCCCTGTGGGCACCTTGTTTGTTAAACATTTTTTTTCACTTTCACCCAAAAAATTCTTTTCATACTGGTAGGAAGGGATTGCTAAAACCCTTTTCTTTAGAGGAGATGTTCATTCCTGAGTGTTTTCTCTAAAATGTTCAAAACCAAGACAAATTACAAGCAAATCTGGTGTAAACTGAGGGGTCTTAAAGACAGTGAAATTCCAGCAAGTTTCCTGAAAATGATATGTTCTTGTGCAAAAAAAAAAAAAAAATAGGGAACTAGAAATTACTCACTGAAAAATGCCCAGCTGAAGGCTGGAGTCTGTGTCCTTACAGACCAAAGCAGAAAAGGATTAGCAGAAGGATGGATAGGAAGAGATCCTGCCACAAAAGATCTTCTCTGCGTGTTGCACTTTACCACAAAATGCAATTCACAGGGAACTAGGCATTAATTCCAGCATTCATAAATGTGCCTCTGAGTCCGCCATACATGTGGAAATTTCTGTTGCCCATCCTTAACCCATCTTATTGAAATATGCTCTTCTATTTGTTTGGGATTTGTATGGCATTTTGATGTGATGGTTGGGGGTTTTGTGTCTGTTTTGTTTGTTTTGATTTGATTATTTTTGAGGTGTGGTGGGCAGGGAGCAAGTGATCTTTTTTGCTTGATTTGCCCTATCTGCCAATGTGCCACCTAAACACACTACACTGATGATTTTTCAGGGGAAAGGTTTGTCTCCACTCTTCAGGGCTGAAGTTAATTTGGGGTAGAATATCAACATGATTTTATTAAATTTGGTCCTTGGCTTTTCTGGTGAAAATAGAGATTGCTTCTCTGCCTGGTGTGTCAAGCAACCTGCTTTCTAAGGGTATGAAAATAATGTAAAAATAAAGAAGTATGGAAATAAAAACACTTCTATAATGAGAGGGAATCCAGTCTTGTTGGAGACTGCTGCAAGACATATGTAGGCTCCCACTGCCTTTCCAGTTCTCAACATCTGAAAGGTGCATTGTGTTCCTGAACCTCTACAAACCACAGCAGCAATTGTTTCACATGAGTGCTGAGTAATCATCTGCAGAGCTTTAGGGAATTGTGAGTCCACTGAGGACAAGATGCATTTGCTTTCACCCAAACACAGTCTTGTGAATGCAGCAGACAAGGATTTGGGAATGACAGGAGGAGAAAAGATTCAAAGAGGCTACAAAACCTTCCTTTTATTTTTTATTTTCTTCTCTTTTCTTTTTTTTTT